CAACAGACAGACGGCAGACAGATGGGATAGGGATATGGGAGTGGATAGGATAGATGGAAAGATGGATACAATGATACGATCTGAGGAGATGCACACACACACACACACACACACACACACACACACACACACAGAGAGAGAGAGAGAGAGAGAGAGAGAGAGAGAGAGAGAGAGAGAGAGAGAGAGAGAGAGAGAGAGAGAGAGAGAGAGCAAACGTGTCCTGACTGTCCTTTCGACTGTGTTGTGGCCAGTGCATGTGCCGTGTGTGCTTCGTCCCACATGCATTGGCTTCTTCTTGCCTCCTGCGGTGTCTCGGCTTGCCTTGCTAGGAGGTCTCCCCACCTACCCGGGCTTTGGGCACTTATTCGGCAAATGGAAAAATAGGCGTCAATCTGAGTCACTCGCTCCTATTAACCTCTAACTCCATCCCTGACCAGTCGATGACCGTCCATTCGGCGTTCCCAAGGGACCATTTAGTACGAGACATTATCCCGTAAACTCTTTCGCATGTGCCATCTCATCTGATGCACTGAGGATCTTTCCATGGTGAGTGACATCTGCCATATGTGTGCTACCACTGCCAAGCCATATCTTCTTAGGGGGTCCCTTCATCTATGAGCATGTGTGTATAGTTCATGTAGTGTATATATATATATAGCACATTACCTGCAGCGGCTCCGCCCTCAAAAAACCTGGAAATTTTGCAATCAAAAGCAGCGACCATGAGGGGTGTGGTGAACTGGAGGCAGTTGCATAGCAACTGACCTGCTGTGTCCAAAATAGTCTGACATATATTACCTTGTTAGCATAGCTTTCCCAAGATACGCCATTCTTTGCAGGGGAGGGGTGGGGGGGTGGGGGGGGGTGTCTCCTTCCACTTTCTCTCTTTCTTTTTCCTTTTTCTTTTTTTTTGGGGGGGGAAGAGGGATGGGGAGGTAACAATAATAGCAAACTACTCAAAACGACCTCTCTCTCTCTCTCTCTCTCTCTCTCTCTCTCTCTCTCTCTCTCTCTCTCTCTCTCTCTCT